CCTCACAGCTAGCTCTCAGTTGCACAGCTGCCAAGTTTTGTTATGCACTGTGAAGTAAGTTTTTGTATGAAGTATGTGCTGTAATTTACATAGTCTGAGATGGTTCCAGTTTAGGGCTAGCCATGAGGCACTGTGTAGGTTATGGCAGAGTAAGAATTCCTCAGCACAGCTGGAGCGCAGGTTCCAAGGTGCTTTGTGAGCAGGCTGGGTGTCTCACCTAGCTGTCACAGCTGATGTCTCTTATTTTGCCTGCCCTTTTCAAGCTTAAAGCACTTATTACTTACAAAGGTGTAAAATATAACACTCTTCTCATTATTCATGAACTGTAAATGAAAACAGTGTGGGGAGGGGCATTATGAGGCGGGGTGGGGAAGGTTCCTGAGCAGAGGAAACATGGAGTAGCATGCACAGTTTCTGTTGGTTTTGCTGTAGGAGTTATCTTTTTCCTTCCCTTTCAGTCACTCACCATCGGGAAGCCCTTGAAGGAGTGCAAGTCCTGGAAGAATGGATTCAAATTTAAAAAGTTTAAGAAGAAAATTTATTTTGTTTACACTGTTATAAGGGATTTTGTGGTGTCTTTATAAATGTAAGGGCTTAGTCCTAGAAGGTTGTTTCTATTGACTAACAATTGGCATGAACCTGGGTCTTTTAAAAGTCTTATTAGTAGACTAATGCAAAACTGTTTTGTTGTGTTAATGTTCTGTGATCTGGAAATGTGCTTTTTTTTTTTTTTAATTGGAGCCTTGAAATAAACTGTGCATTTCTAACTAAGAAATATTTTGTGATAACCCTGCTGTTTCTGTTAATATTTGGGTAGCTGAAGCAGGTCACCTGCCACTATGGTGAAAAGCAGGAGGCAGGCTGTTACAGGCACTTGTGAATTCAGTGTAGGTGCAGCAGCCAGTCAAAGGCTGTCCTGCAGGTGTGTGCCTGTTGTAGGACTTCATTCCTACAGAGCACCAATTAGAGTGAAGTGTTACTGGTACCAACTGTTGTTATGACTGGTCTTGAATGTTATGCTGACCTGTACCTTGTGTTTTTATTTGCACCTCCTCAAAGCTCAGTGAAGCTGAAAACCTGTTTGGAGGTGCTTGTATTGTACACTTGATGATTTGACTTGCAAAAATGTCTACAAAGGCCATTAACAGATGGAAGAAACAAGGAATGTGTGAAAGCTGGTCTGTCTGTCCTGTTGGTTAAAGGATGAGTGAACTTCTCACCTGAAGGTATTTGGAGTATTTCTGAAATGTAAACTATTGAAGTAAATATTTTTAGAACCTTGTTTTATGTCCTGGTTGTCCAAATAGTACTACTTTGTGATACTTATGATAAATTGGCAGTTCTGGTGCAGAAGATAATATCTTTAGATAACCCTTTTTAGGAAATTAAGGCTTTTCTTACAGATTGAAGGTCACAAGCAGAACCTGTAGGTCATGTTTAAGTAGCAGTACATTTGGGGAATCAAGAGCTCATGTTATGCCGATCTGATCTGATCTGCCTGGTCACATCTTCTCCTTTGGCAGTAGAGCATAACCAAGGGACTCGCTGCTGTCCTGATCAGTTGTTGCTGTGGGAAACTGGACTGTACCTGGCTGTATACAGATGGTCCCTATCTCACCACAGATAGGTTACTGAAGGATTTAAGTATGATAAACTAGTGCATGGTATATGTTGGTTTGATTTGTCTTTGCAGCTGATAATGGCTATTATCAGACTAGCAAGGAAATCAAAATCATCTGGCACTCTGACTTAAAAGTCTTCCTTACAGTATGTTCTGGCCTATATTGCTGTGTCTTACTGGCCAGTGAGAAACAATAATTCTCTTGGGGCTTCTAATTTGCCAGCAGTGGGTTGATACTCTACTGTTAGGGTAGAGCACTGCAGCTGCCCATGGGCACCTAACCCCAGGTTTTCAGATGAACTTTGGCCATTGTTGCTTTACAAGATGTCCACGTATTAAAAGAATGATAATGAGCCCCTATACATGACTTCACAAAGACTCACTCTGTGTACTACAGCATGTGTTTGTCTTGTCCCTTGTCTCTTTCCCATGTTTGTACACTTTAGTGCATTGGTGCTTAGTGTAGGGTAAGTGACTTTCCTTGATGATGCTGCAATTAATATTTTGTTATAACCACAGTCCATTTTAAGCTGCAGAAGAGGGAGCTGGAAGCAACAGCATTAAACTAGGGTGACCTAAAAGCCATTGCTAAACACTGCTGGGGGGAGTATTTATTGGGTTCCCTTCCCTCTGCGCCATTGCTTTTTACAGCATCAATGGTAAAATCACCCCATGCAAGGGGCTTTTAAAGGGGGGGGTAGCTTTTTCTTTTTTGTCCCCTCTGTACTGCTGAAGCAAGCTGACTCCACAATAAACCTTTAGACTAAAGAAAGCTCTTCTAGTGATACCTTTCTTTTTCAGTCTCGCTACTCTTGGGAGTATTACAAGAAAGGGGGGAGGTTGGGATTGCATCCATGTGCTCTGGGCAGAGGAGGAGGGCTGGAAGGAGGGTTACTAGGGGCAAGCTTTGGTCAGTGGTGGGAGGCAGCTCCCATGGAGGAGGCTGGAGAAGGAACCATTCTCCAGCTGCTGCTGGAGGTGGGAGTTGCTCTTCTACCTCAGAGGGAGGCCTGTGGTCATTAGCAGCAGTACTGCTGCTGCCTTTGGTGTTTGTCATCTGTGTTTACTGGGTGTGGGGGGTGTGTCTCATCCTCTTGTTTGAGACTGGTGCCTCAAAGGCAGTTCCAGCTGTATTGCAGAGGGCTTGCAGTGTGCTGCTGGGGAGCACAGCAGCTAAGCTCCAGCTCTGTCTCTGCTGTTCACCTGGGGCATTGGACTGGCTTACCCTGTCTCAGTCATTTTGTAGTACTTTATGCCCTTACTCTTAAGGGGAAATGGAGCTGTTGCGTGGCCTGGTGCTGGTTTCAGGGGTTGAACATACCCGCTGAAGGAAGTCCATGAAGCCAGGTTAGTGCATATGCAATTCCTGGGAAGTCAGCCTGTTTTTGCAGTGGATGGGGCACTATTATGTAGAAACCCTCCTAAAGTAACAGATGGCCCTGCAGCCCAGGCAGTGAGGTGTGAGGGATGTGTTCAGTATCCACTGTCACCTTTTGATTGTTATCTGTTGATGTGTGCTGTGTTCCCTTCCCAGACTTGCCCATTCTGCCACCAAGGTAAGGCACTAGACTGTTTCACAAGTCCTCCCTCCAGCAGGGTTGGATGCTGCTAGTTATCACCTGCTACATCATTGGCTGTCCTTGCCCTCACCTTCACTTTGGGATAGCTCAGGTGGAATTTAGCAAGTACCTGGGAGAAGAGGACTCTGCTGGAGCACTAGCTTCCATCCAAAACTCAGCACTCCCTGATGGTTGATAAGTCATTTATTCAAGAGGATGCTACTTTAAAAGTTTATGGAAGTCTGAGATAAAAAATGGAATCTGTTTGCTCCAGAAACAGTATTTGCTTCCCCTTACTGGCATGGCTGCCAGGCATGCACAGAAGCAATGCCGTACCTAACAGTTCTGCTTCACACAGAGCTAATGCCTGACAACACACTCCATATGCCTCTGCAGTGTTTTAATACTCTGCCCCAGGATTCCTAGGCCTTAACAGCTCTTCACTAAACCTCAGAAAAAGAACCTGTGTCCAGGTGTGCAGTTACAGGAATATGGTGCTACTGTTGACCAACGTTAAGCTATGGGAAGAGTTTAGCCTTCTGCAGTTCAACATACCTGCAGAGACTGTTCTACCACACTGGTATGTTGGTCTTGGTACTCCTGTCTTCTTCCTCATGCAAGGGTGTGTTGCTGTGAGACTGCTTCTACAAACATTCAGGTGTGTTGGTTTTGAAAAAAATCAAACTAGCCCCCAAAAGATGCACCTCCCTCATCATTCCTCAGCCTGAAGGCTGTGTCTAGGCAGGGCTGGTGGTAAAGACAGTGTTTACTCTGCTTTTTACTATTTTATATATATATAAGCAAAGTTATTTCACTTAAGGCACTTGCTAGTACATCAAGCAGCTCAGCAGCAATGCTCAGCATTGCAATTAAGCAGTGTCAAAGGGAAGAAGTAATAGTTCATTATGACAGGACAAGGAATAACGGATTTAAACTAAAGAAGAATAGATTTAGATTAGACATAAGGAAGAAATTTTTTACAGTGAGGGTGGTCAAGCACTGGAACAGGTTGCTCAGAGAGGTAGTGGAGGCCCCATCCCTGGCAACATTCAAGGTCAGGTTGGATGGGGCTCTGAGCAACCTGATCTAGTTAAAGCTGTCCCTGCTCACTGCAGGGGGAGGGGGGGGTTGGGCTAGATGACCTCTAAAGGTCCCTTCCAACCCAAAGCATTCTATGATTCATTATTACTGTGGCATTTTGCCACACTCTTCTGCAGCAGTCCAGGAGTTTAGCTAAAAGTTTCCAAAAGTGGGACTTTCTTCCAGCTGTGCAGGGTGGCAGGAGGACTACTGCCTACCAGAGGTTACCAGTGAGCAATACATTTTAATGCACTACAGCATTCCATCTCATCTGTTTTACTTTTTCACAGTGCAGGGGGGGCTGGAAAGACCTGGCTTTCAGGGGAAACGTCCACACTCTCCTGCAGTTTTACACTGTAACCAGAACAGCCTGCACTGATCCAACACATTACTCCAACTGATCTGGTACAGTCTCCTTGCCAGAGGACACTCTAAATCCAGTTCAGAACCCCTTGACTTTCACTTTCTTACTTGGAGGTTTCTATTCTTCCTGGGAGATTTGCCATTTTCCTGTTTCCCAGAGTGTACTGTAAGCCACCTTACTTTCAACAAGTAAGCTCTCTGCAAACAAAGGGGGACCCCCTCCCCCCCCAAATAAACCCAAACCCTGTCAATAGTACAACTACCAACTTGGTCTTCCAGAGATCAGAGCCATGTTTTGGGACAACAAATACATCAAGACACTGATGTTACTTGGTCTGTTCTCAGGCAGTAGCAGTGAGTCCTTATAGAAAGTCGTTTCATGTTACTGCGTGGTCACAAGCTTTACAATCATACCGATGATCCGAGATCCACGGGGACACATGCATAAATCCATGCTGGGATTCTTGATTTTATCCTGCAGCAGCTGGTCTAGTTCACAGCGCAGCTCTTTCACCAGCTCAGCCACCTAACACACATGGTAAAACACAGAAGGCTCTGTAAGGCTCATGAAATGCATCACCTGCATTCTTAAACACAAGCACGGCTCTGCAGCACTCCCAGGATTAGCCTTCCTTTTCCTTACCTGGTGAGAGGCAGCCACAAACCGTATCCATCCATCATCAAGAGAAATGACAAATTCTCCCTTCTGCAGCTGCATGTGAACCTGCCCGCCTCCAAGCAGGACCAGTGGGTACACTGACACCATACTGCAGTCTCGAATGAACACACGGCTGGTCTTGATTTTCTCATGATACACCAGGTAGGGGCTCTCAAAGTGCCTAGTCTGGAACACGTACACAACAGCCTCGTTAAAGTGCCACAGCTCTTCCTACCTGCTTGGGCAAATACAGGCCTGCCTGCCTCCTCCATGCAGGCCTCCCCTGCCTCTTCTACAGCTGCAAAGACCAGCAAATGTGCCTAAAACACACCTGCATGACTGACTCTCTCTGACCTGTAAGAGCTGCCAATAACTTTGCCAGTTACCCCTTGCTCCTTCCCGCTTTGCAGTGAGCATGTGAGAAATTGGCTAATTCATCCATGTGGCCCCAAGTTCTCCATTTCATGCTAAGGACATTTTCATGTGTGCATTTGTTACGCTCTTA